TCAAGTCTATCCTGCAGGGATTGAACCAACTTGACCAGAGAATGGTTTTCCCCCCCGACACGGAGGGATTCACCACAATCTTCAATTTGGTGGTTCTGATTCTTTGAGGGCCTATAACTGACAGAGGACATCTCTTCGCCTTCATGGGATCTAGAAGGCCTTCCTCTTGCCTGAAACCGTGTGTTGCTTCCAAGTGGGATGGATGCAGGATCAGAGTCTCCCACGGTGAAATTACCTCTAGGTGATCCGATTGCACTTCTCAGTTTAGACATTGTGACTTCTTGTTGCGAAAGATGGAAATCTTCCCACAGACGGCGCCAAATGTAAGAGGCAAAAAATCGAGAGTACCTCCTACTGGAATTGAGAAATTGATATGCTTCTGAACTTGATCTTTCAGTTTTCTTTTATCTACAAAACGAACAAACTGTCTAAGATTGAAGTGTTTCGATCGAAGGCACTCCGATGCTTAATTCAGTAAAGGTATTCAAACGAATGAAAGAAGACAAGGAGAGTTCAGCCTACCTTTCTTCTTGGCTCCTTTTGTTTTTTATAGTTGGACATCCCCTTAGGGTTTCCATAATTCTTGATTTAAGGTGGCACACCTTCCTTCAATTCAGTAATTCAGTTTGAAAAGTTGTTGATATTTCTCCATTATTTTCTCTTGATATCTTTAATTTCTCTGATTCACTTATCTGATTGCCTAAGCTATAGGTGAATCTTTATCCCTCTGTTTATTATTTAAAACAGCTCGGACATATCGAATGCCGAACACACTTGATATTTGCCGAACAGATTAAGGGTCTTGGTTTGGCACAAACCGATCTCTTCAATTGCCTTGCTGAACACTTTAACAGACTCGACTTAGTACAAGCCAAACTCTTTCCTTGCTTAGCTGAACTGATGAGTTCGGTTATAAAGAGAATCGAATTTTTTCTGTCATTGCCGAACCTCTAATTAGCTCGGTTTGGTCAAAAAGCTTACTAAAAAATTCAATTAGCTCGGTTTGGTCAAAAAGCTTACTAAAAAATTCTTCATCCCGTGCCTTATCTTGTCAACATCATGTGAGCACATTTAATGTCATGTCATGTGTAATCGTGAGGTTTAACCCCTTTAGGTACTAATTTTCATTAGTATTAAAAATATAAGAAATATATTTCTTAATACCATGCGTAACAATACTCAAAACAAATATGTACTAGGAGGAATTGTCATAAGTTCCAAACAAATAATATTTGTGAGGGAGTCAGAGGTGGTTGGTACAGACCGTCGACATTCTTCACATTTTGTTATACGTCATGTCTAATGGAAAAACCAGAAGAAACTTGTTCGTTTACGTTTTTTGTGGGTCTTTCTATGATCTTTTTTTTTTTTTGGGCAAGTGGATCTTTCTATTATCTTACTATTACTAACAACGCTCATTCGGTTGTTTCCTTCAACAAGATAATATATATATATATATATATATTATCGAGCAAGACATATCTTTTTTTAGAAGAATATTAAATATAACGCTAACATCATGTTATTATTATTGTACGGTGTCACCATCTGATAATAATTCAATTTGTAATTTAAGTGGACCTAACTTAATTTCGTAATTACCATGTCCATGTTAGAAAATAGAAAAATATTATTTGAATTTTATTTGAGGATCTAATCTGGAGATTTAATTTAATATAACCATTGGATTAAAAGTGAATTTCGTTTAACATTGAATTAATGAAGGTACTCGTAATATTTTTATGGATTTTGTGAGGTACATCAGGTTTTCAAACCACAATTCCAAGCCTAGAGAAATTTAGTATAAAAACTTGGGGAAAGTCTACCGTACAAAAAAAAATTTCGTATTGTACCGCCGGTTACTATTTTTTCTGATAAAATTACAATTTAAAAAAGAGAAGCTTCAATTGTTTAATAAAACGTTATGATCGATCACAGACACCCATGATCGATTATGAACTATCAGTATCAATCACAATCTTTCATGATTGATCATACTCTTTAAAGTTGTCACTTACACCTTAAAAAAATTATAACTTTGTCTTAAAAAATTGTAATTTTTCGTACAGTACCGGAGCCTTTCTCAAAAACTTGAAATAAAGGTTTGTATGTTAAAATATATTACACATCCCAAATAAAACCCAAAAATTAAAACTCAAATGCATATCATTCATTGGATGAATGTTGAATGAATGAGTCTCACTAAAAAAAATTGATGAAACCCACTCATTCAAGGAATGATATGTATTTGGTTACAATTTTTTAAATTTTATTTAAGTTTTTTAGCATTGCGCTTATATGTTTAGTCCATAAATAGAGTATTTTTCTATATAAATAATCCGACTTGTGGAATACATCAATCTAGGAGGACATCAAAACAAACTGAAAAAAATTGATTAAAGAGATTTTTGTAGACATGAAACAAGAAAGACCCAGCTTTATACGGCTTATGGCTCTCATGGTTTTTCAGCACAGCTAGTTGGCCAATGTCTGCTCTAGTCAATGTATTTTTTTTATAAATTTTTTTAATAGAATATTGTGTCACATGCGATTTTTGAAATGAAACTCACTATCTTTATAATAAAGTACAATACAATTCAAATTTTAAAAATAAACAAAATGACTTTTGTTATTCGCGGTTGAGATTTCTTTAAATTTTACTTTAAAATTTATCTAATGGTTATTATTAGCACTCCAAATTTAATAGGAAAAATAGACCTCTAAGGGTGTGTTTGGAGTGATTTTTTAAAAGTGTTTCTAGAAATTATTTATCATTAATACTTTAAAAAAAAATAATATTTGAAATCGCCCCACCACCACCACTCTCATCGCTCAACCACCATCACCATTACCACCCCCATCCCCATCACCCCACCATCACCACTACCACACCCTCACCCCTGCCCTCACCCTCACCCCCACCACCCCCCCCACCACCATTATTGCCACCACCACCATCACCTTATCACCACCATCACCATTACCATCACCACTATCACCTCTACCCCACCACCATCACTACTATAACCACCGCTCCATAACCATCACTACCACTACAACGATTGTCTCACCACCACCTCCAGCGCCCTTCCACCACCATCCCCACTACCATCATCATCATCACCACCATTGCTACTGTACCTTACCATCATCACCACTGCTATCGCACCTTACCACCATCACCCCCACCAACGTCACCCCACCCCCACCCTCACTACCCCACTGCCACCACCACCACCATTGTCACCCACTACTGATTGATACTATCGTCGTGCATTGCCACCACCTATCACCTACCATCATCATCATTTTATTCTTATATTTATTATCATTACCATCATGATCTCACTACCACCGTTGCCTACCGTCAGTACAAACCACTACCATTGTTGCCCACTGTCACCCAATACCATAACCCATCACCACCCATCATCGTCACCAACCATTGTCACCCACCCCCACCAAACCTACCACCACCATCTGTCATCGCCCACTGCTGTAGCCACCCATTGTCACCTACCCTCACCACACTTAAAACCGCTGTCATTCGCCACCATCCATCATTACACTATCGCCTAGAAGCATTCATTGTTGCCCACCACAACCATCGTTACCACCCACCACCACTGTCGTAGTCCCACTACCACCATTGACAACCACTATCACCATGTTCCACCACCACCCACACCCACCACCACCATCACCTTTGTCACCCACGACTGCCACCACCACCACGGTTGTCGCCACCCACAACAAATATCACCGTCTCCCACCATCACCACTAACCCTGCTCACCCTATTACAATCAGTATTTAAATTTCTTTCTCTCTTTTATGCTTGTGATTTAATTTTGGGTGTGAATACAAATATGTTTATTATTGATTATTTTTTTTATTATCCTGTACTTTCAGGTATGAAAAATAATTAGTATTTTAATGAGTTTACGTCAACATGCCATGAGTTATCTACTATTTAAAAAAAATATTCGAGTACCATAAACAGATGAGTTTGATTTAAGATAGGCATAGCTAAGTTAGCTCATTTGCTTTTATCTCCTTAACTCTTTAGGAAAGGAACCCTTAATCAGAACTTTCCTAATGGGCTGTTTGGTAAACCTCAACATTTGCTTACCATACCAACCAATTCTGCTTTATTGTTTAGTTTAGAGACAATTATGTAAAACTGTTTAACCAAAATAGTGAATTTTCTCGTCATTTTCCTAGACATTGCTCATGTGCTCCCACGTGTATGCAACAAACTAAAGTCGACATCAAAAGTCAGCACTTAGGCTGAAGACGTCCGCTCACACAGATTTGTGTGTGATTACTGATTAGTAAGTTCATTTGACCAAAAGGAAGCAATGAAATTTTTGGCCACTAGCATTTGTTAAAAATAACAGAAGGCAATAAAAGAGGTTGGAGTAAGACAGCAAATATATATATATACACACACATTATTCTACCAAAAGTTCCTCCCCCCCCTACCAAAAAAATAAAAACAAAACCCAAATATACCAGAAGAATACAAATTAAACTAAATATTTTTTTGCTAAAATTTGAATTGGTCATTGTGAATAATTCACTTTTATCTACACACACACATACACAGCTATCAGTCCTAGGAATTGGTCTAACATTTCAGAATAATGTTGATAATATCCTATGTAACTCAAGACTGCTTCAGCAGGAATACATAAATGCCATTAGTGCTATAGCTCCCAAGGGCAAACACCAGTCCCTTTATTAAACTAGACCACAGTTTAGCTCAACCTCTTCACTGATTCATTTCAAAAGCAAAATGACCAGCATTTTGCCATGCCTCAATCGGTTGTCGTGTGTTCTACAGGGGACATTAGCACAAACACCACTATTCCCACTCGAGTTTCTGATGGCTTACGGTGCCTACCACTGGAGCCATCAACATTTTAATCTAAAGTTAATCATCCAAGTGTTACGGAACTTCTAATGCCACAAGGAATATTCCCAAATGGACTTGAGCTAAAAACAATAATAAAACAAGCATGTATAATTTCATTTTCATACGGCATCCAAATGTTTGCATACATGTTGTAGACTGTTTTGTACCTTCAAATTAGAATCTATGAGAAATAACAGGTTACATCAAGTACCCAAAAAAAAAGGGCAGAAGAGAACTGAAGTGGTTCAATGACAGCTTTTCATGTGTGTGTATTTACTCCATATATCTACACCCAGGACCAAATATAATCTGGGATACAAATGGGCCAAAGGAAAAGCAAAATTTCCCATTGGACAAGATGTGCAGGGTGGGTTTACAGCAGAATGTGGCACAACTGTGTAACCTAAAAACTAGTATGACATGGAACTGTACAGGGTCAGCTAAAAAGGACCATAGAAAGGCTATAATAATAGGAAGAATAAGAAGATAAATCTGAAGCTGGAAACAATCATAGACAAAGCATGCCTGCCATAAAATGGTGATGCAACTGAGCTCCGAGCAGTATTCTTGGTCTCTTCTGATTTTGGAGTAGAGTAGTTGTTGCCTAGTCCAACAGTGACAGCAGGAGGCACATTAGTAGAGTTCTGCAATTCTGATTGGAAAGTGCTGTGGTCATCAATGTCATAACCTAGATGACGGCCATGGAGTTCAGTGATAAATTGAATAGAATCTGTTATACATAAGCATGGAGGCTTTATTGCTTTGATGAAAACAACACTCACAATCAAACTTCTTCCAGCCAAGGACGAGTTTTTCTCGGTCAAATACAATGCGGTATCCCGTCATAAAATTTTCTGCATGATGATCAATAACCGCAGCCTCAGCAACCATGTATTCATAAATAAATAATTCCGCAAAAAGTGGATGCCTCATTAGTTCAGTTTTGTTCTTGCCTTGAGATCAAGAAACACTTATAAGCTGTTTCATCTTTAAGGCCTTGTCCACCAGCCATCATTTATTTTTGGTGTTGAGGGTATGTCATCTATAACAACTCAATGCATCAACCTCGCCAAGGTCCTTAAGTCACTTCATCCTAGTTAACTAATTGAGCATAAGCATTTTTAATATTAGAAGTTAAAGCACACAACCACTTCCACTTCCACCAACAAGCTTCAGAGATACAAAGTAACCATAAGTCGATCAAATCTCTAAGCAAGCTTCAGGCCACGACCAAGTCGCTTCTCAATATCTCCACAAGGAACAAAATTTATTTCGGTGCATTGTTTCGATAATTGGAGAAATGGTAACGTTTCGAAAGCATTTCATAAATTCAATGGTAACAAAGAAAAAATTTGACATCTATTTCCGAAACAAAGACACCTCGAAATATGAGAATTTTGACCCTCAATTAACAATTCATTTTGGCTTCCATGAAAATGGAAACGTTTTGGCCATTTTTTGAAATGAAATTTTGATCCTTGTATTTCTAGAACTTATATTTTTGAGAAGTATCTAAATTGAAGCAAAAAAAATTGGTGCTTAATAGAATAAAATAGCGAAACATGTTCACGTAGCTTACTCCAAAAATATTGGGACAAAGATTTGTTATGTTGATATGAGTTTATCTGAATTGAAGGGAAACATTATTGACTTATAGACAAACAATATCCAACAATTATGTAGGGCTAAGTACAAATTTTACCAGGTAATATCCAGAAATTAAGATGCTTACTAGTTTAGGCATCGTTTGATTGTGGTATCTAAAAGTGCTAATTTAAACGTTTCACATTTTATTATAAAATTTGATGATGAATTCAAGTGGCATCAACTGAAGTTTGTTGTCCATGCATGCACGCACTTGCATTTGAGGTTTAAATTATTAATTCCATTTTCTCTCTTGTATTTTGTGACTAGTCATGGCATATAAGGAACACAGGGTACGTTACTTCCAATCAGAAGACTTACGTCCAATAATATTCAGTTCTTGACTCTTGACGACAGCTAGGCAATATACAAGATCACGCTGTAAACAATGCATGCCATAAAAAGTTAGTATAATATCGGATAAACATTAAAAAGAAGCAACTGCATCAGGAGGAAGACTCTACCTGCACGGAGATGACAATTATTGGATCATAAACGGCAAATTGGCCTCCTCCTTTCATAGATAGACTCATACTAGGAATCAAACTAGTATTTGCATCAGGACTGCCCATTATAAACATTATAAAGACAAAATGACAGCCAGATTTAGGGGGTTAGTCACTGGAAGGAACTAATGACAAAGTTTAGGGTGATGACCTCATATCATAACAATATTCGAAAGGGATCCTTGGATCAGGTGTCCGCTGCTTATCTTGGGCTTGTGAATGGAACTGTAAAAGAACCAAAGGTGATGACTTAAAGGGGTGTCCATTGGGGAAACAATCAGAATTAATCTCTGTCATCTTGAGTGCTTACACTCTCTGAAAGCCTTGTATAGGGAGGGTCAACCAGATATGTGAAGGAGGTCCCAGAGTCAAAAAGAGCTGTGAAATCCAAGTCAATGAGAGTAGTCCCCACTCGAATTTGAGTCACAGCTATATTATAGGTTGGATTACTGCACACAGATAAACTTTGTAAGAAAAACTTCCCAAAAACTCACAAACTGACACAGCATCACTTACCGTAATGGATCTATATTAAATGGGGTCTCTTCCTGGTCAAGACTACCCTTATCTCCAAAGTTAATCCTACCGGTTCCATCACGCCCAAAACACATGGAGAAAGAATCTGCTGTGTAATGCTCTTGGGACAAAATGCTAGGAACTGATATCTTCTCCAAGCCAAGCCCAAATAAACCATTTGGAGCTGCAACATCTAGAAATGAACCAGTTTGAACCTGTCCACAGCTGCACAAATTTAAATTGCAAATTTATGTCAAATTCTAAATTTGAGCAAGAACAAGCTAAGATGGACCTCTATATTATTCAGTTTGGATACCTTAAATGGGCATCTACCAAATCAAATTCCCTAATATGCTTCGCAATAATAAAAAACTAGCAGTCGCCTCATGCAGTGAACGAAATTTATAATATCTCTTCCCTACATCTCTACTCCCATCCCTGCCCACACCCCACCCCAACATTATTAAAAAATTATTTATTAATGTGTTAAATTGATATTTTAAAAAAATTCCAATGTGAATTAGTTAATAAAGATGAAGAAAAATTCAAAATGTGTCCAAAAGTCGAAAGTGGTTCATAGGCCCATGTTGGAATTCAATTGGAGCTAGCCAATAATTCACTATCAAATAATTCAAAATTAGAAGAAAATAGGATTTGATGATGGAAAGTTTCTCAAACCTTCTCTCCCCTACATTAATTCATATCATATATAGTATAGATTATGCCCATGATATGGTATGCATCTGCAACTGATAAAATCAAACACTATTATGATAACAAAAACACACCAATACGCAGAATATTGCTGAGTAAGATCAAATTAGCAGTATTGCACATAATCTGGCAACTTACCCAAACGTGATGTATGCATCAACCATAGCTGGATCATTGCCTTCTGTCTTTAAGTGCAGAACATCCTCCACCAATATCCCAGAAGTTGAAGTTTCAGATGAGACATAGGAAACTGAGTAAGGGCATTGGCTAAATGTTCCGAGGCAGCTACTATGGTGTGTGCACAAGCTATGGTCACAAGTGACCTTTTTGCTTGTTGATGATTCATTTGGGCTGTATATGCTAAGCTCAAAATCCTGTCACATGGCAACAAAATTGTAGAAAATCTGTGCAAAGTTTGCAATTGTACGACATAAAGTTGGAGATATATCAATGCATCTATACAGGATGCTAATTGGGAATTGGAAAGTCCAGCACCAAGTATCCATGCCAAAGTGCAGCACTCGAGTCTGTGATGTCTTGATCACCCATCCTGGCCAGAAATAAACCAAAAAGATCCTAGATTTGTTTACATTAAGGACTACATGTATTTTAAAGTGTTTCCTTTATTCACATAAAGAAGTTTGGAAACAAAAATTGGGCATGCCCATGGGTATTCAAAGTATTTTCCCATACTTCATCCAAATCCGGATGGAAACCTGGAATCTAGCAGCATTTAGACAGCCATTACCTAGCCAAGCATTAAAAATAAGCTTTTACCAGTTGCATTGAACCGCAGGTTGATAATTGCCTTCTGAGTGATAGAAATTTAGATCATCTGTTGTCTTCCTTTATTTCCCCCTTTTTATTGGATTCTCTTAATGAAAGGAAAAAGCTAATTTCAATCTCAGTTCATTGGTTAGTGTAAAGAAAAAATGAGGCCTTAGCACCACTTCACCTAGGTTCTATTTCTGTTTTAAAATCATCTGTAAAGAAAAGAAAAGGTAACAAGGAGAGCTAACAGAAGAAGAAGAAGAAGAAGTGTCGGTTATGTGCTAGGACTTTCTCACATTCTGGAAGAAGGAAGGAGACAGAATTATTTTGTACTCTCCTCAAACCACATAGAACCATGCATCCTTGGAATAGCCGCTCTCATTATGTGTCTCCTCTAGTGTAACCTATTCACAAAAAAAGAGACATAGCCTCACTAACATACCTAGAAAAGATTGATAAAAGCTTCTCTACTAGTTTGTTTCTTCAGATTAGAGGATTCTATTCTCACATTTTTCGCGCTGTTTTCATTTCTTTGGCACTCCTTTTCATTGTTTTCATTATAAAATAAAAAAGAAAAAAAAAACCTTTCTGACCTACAATTATTCTTGGTAGGTTAATTAATTTGCATGAAAAACTGAAATATCAAACACTATCCCAGAAGCATCATCCTAGTTCTTCTATTTAGTGGCCTATTATCGACAAAGGCAAAGAAAGCAGTAAGGGCAATTTCCAGGATCCTTGGTTGCCAAATCCATTATTTTATTCTGCTATGCTTCCCAATGCTGTTTATGTTCAGCAATCGAGAATTCAAAGATAGATAGACCTGTACGGAGTGAGATACACAGTCCAGGTACCAAAATTGACGAGTTAACTAACCCACTGCAGTATTTAGCATGAAAGGAAAAGTAATAGCAATTTGGGTGAAGCAAACTTCAACTAACTAGACGGAACTTTGCAGTACTCCCAATCATTGTAGCAATTAACGAGAACCATATTATCCAGTTGCTTCACAATTCAGCTGCTAATTAGCATTCAAAGCTACCTCCATGGTCCTAGTCATATGGCTACATCCATACTATTCGCGTACCCATTAAAAATGTCTACTCAATGTATCACAAGTGGATTTCATGCTTTAATTTGTTCTACATCACAAGGCGATTGCCACATAAACAAAATTTTAGAATTTCCGTTTTCTGCATTATAGAGCTAAGTAGGCATCCTCTAGGATAGCAGAAGAATCACACATTTAAGGCTTTTAGCAATCAATGCAGATGGAAAGAAAAAGCTAGAGCTAAATTTAGGTATATAGTTAATGTAGTTGTTTTCTTCTATCCCAATAATTCACTTCAAAACAGATGTAGAACAAGAGAACATACGGAGCTATAAGGGGTGTCGGCAGTAGATGCACAACTGCCACAATCACAAGGCACCCAAAATAGGTCGCTCCCCGTATCAAGCGCCACCAGAAAGTCCATGGCCGGCGTCCCTAGCGACACCGTCGTGTAATGCAAACTACACAAATCTCCACAAAACAGAACCAAAATAAATAAATAAATAAATAAACTCTACTTGCAAAAGATTAATCAAGAAATTGAAACATAGAGGGACTTAGTGATGATCCGTACAATCCCAATGAGCTGATCCGGAAAGTCTCATTGCCGTTGGAGAATACGAGTGGTCCGTCCAATTCCGAGAGCCTCCGTCCTCGAAAAACACGATCATGGTGGGCCAGTCGTGCGTAGTACTCGATACTACCTTTCTCCGGCCAATGATTTGCCGGAAAATGTTTTCCCGCTCGTTGGGACCATTTCTTCACCGGTTCAGAGAAGCGGTGGTGTATTTGTAAGGTGAAAATACGGGCATAAGAGCATTGAGAAAACCAAAACAAGATCAATGTCAGCAAGAAAATGTAGAAAGAAGACATTTTTACACAAATCAGACAAAGATTTGCATCAAAAAAATACTTTGAAGCTGTGAACCCTAGATCTTGGACTTTGAGAGAGAGAGAGAGAGAGGGTTACTGAAACTACGCAAGTGAAGAAGGAAGTTTAGGTGGGTTCTTGGTATTTTTTCCGTTTTCTGAACAGTGAGGGTACTTCTTGGTGTTGAGGTCTCTATGTTGACAGTTGACAAAGTTGGAGGGATTGGCTTCAAATTGCATTGTGGGTCGACTTGGCCATTTAAAGCTAATGGGTCCCACTCTGTTCCGCTTTTCTCTTCTCCTTTACCTCTTTCCCTCCAATTCTTGTTTATATTTTTTTTTTTTTTTTTTTCTCTTTCTTTTTGGTCGGGCACTATCACAGGCACAGCGAGGGGAGGACGAAATTGGAACAAATTATTGTAGGTGAAATCCACCATATTGGCCTGGATTTACAAATAATTTTGCTTAAAGGCCTATAGTCATATTTTATAGGATTAATTTTGTAACGATGTGTATTAGAATTGATCTTTAACATGTTAGTTATAACACTAATTATGATCGTATTCTCAAAGGTTATTTTTCGAATTTTCAAAAATCTAAATGGATATCAAATATAAATATCTACCATTACGATTAACAAGTTAACATTAATCTTAATAATGATGAATTTAAATTTGAGTTCCGCTAGAGCCCAAATTCCTCTGGATTTATAGAAGATGGCCCAAGCAGTTCATCCATACAGTATTCATTGAGCTCGAAGTGGACAATGACCCAATTTTAAAGAGACTTGATGATAACAAGTTTGGTATAAATATGAGTTCGAAGCTAACAAGTTCGGTATAAGTACCACTTCGAGAGATGGGAGCACGGCGCCAGGCATTACATGTTGACAGGAGACACGTGATGGCTCATATAACAATTTGTTATTAACATGCTAATTAGGTCACTAATTATATTTTTATATAATTAAGAGTTATTTTTAAATTTTAAATAAATAAATGAACATAAAATATGAATTATTTGCGTAAAAACGAGTTAAATGACTACGATATAAGTTATATTTTTTTTATTAAAATAAAAATAAAAATAACATAGTGTTTGAATTATATACTAAATGCATAATATATGTGTAACATGCATGTAAATAGATATCAAGTGCCGTGTGCCTAGAGATGAAATATATTTATGACAACTGCCATGGACAAGTGTCCATGACGTAGGCATAACTATGTAAGCACCCTTACATGGGTTGACGTCAAAGCCTCGGAGGCCAAGCAACAATGTTGGCTATATATGGCCTTTCAGACAATGAGCATGTAGGAGGGAAAAAAAAGAAGAGAGAGAGAGAGAGAGAGAGGAAGAAAAAATGAGACAAAGATGAAAAAACAGATAAATTTATCAGGTTTTTGGGTTAAAAATTAAATAGTGATTTTACTTTTAATCGTTATGAAATTAAAGTGTCTTATTTAAGATACTTCAAATTTTTTATCTATTAAACTTATTAATGGTTTTGAGGTACGAGATAGTATATAATATACTATTATTTTTTAAATCTCCTTGCAAAAAATATTTTTTGATTATCTGAAATTTATATTTCTATTGATTATTCTAATTGATATGAAATTTTGCCAATTTTTTCAGTTGACCTGTATATTGGGTAAAATACTTTGGGATTAATTAGTACATGTACAAAGTATACTTGAGAGATAATTGATAAAATGTGATTATGGCCCTACGGGGTGCGATTGTGATTACAGTCCTATGGGATACGGGGTGTGATTAGTTATTATGAGTATGAATTTATATATCTAAGTATCACTTGTCATGTCATAAAAAGGAACCAAGTATAAGGTTATGTTTGATAGAAATTGAGCTATGTGACTTATTGAATTGGATTCTTGATTCTTCTATCTATGATTGTTTATCGATTAAATTATTTGATACTTTACCATTCATACTTTTTCTCGTTAAGCATATTGTTTCCTACGGGGTGCGATTGTGATTACAGTCCTACGGGGTGTGATTAGTTATTATGAATATGAATTTATATGCCTAAGTATCATTTGTCATGTCACAAAAAGGAAGTTATGTTTGATAGAAATTGAGTTATGTGACTTATCGAATTGGATTCTTGATTCTTCTATCTATGATTGTTTATCGATTAAATTATTTAGTATTTGATCATTCATACTTTTTCTCGTTCAGCATATTGTTTTCTGTCATATTGTATACTTCCCCACTTTTAATATTTTTTTTTCAAGATGATCTCGAAGGGAATAATTAGAGTTGGTATGTGAGGGATCGAAGATGAATGAATCTTGATATAATTTTTAAATTTTATTAGTATTTGGAGATAAAAAATGCGAATATAAATTTATTAAAGGAATTAGAGTTCTGTGCCGATATTCAGAGATATTTGTAGTTTATTGTGATCGATTGATTTAATCAAGTAACGCGTCTCAGGAACAGGACATTACAGGACAAGAGAACATTACTTGATGAATGAACAAAAATCCACAAGTAGTGGAGACGGATCACATACTGTAGCCGTCGAGTGGTGGGTGTAGAAAAACGTTAGGGATCATAGCTCCAAGACAAAGATAAACACATAGGATCATAGAATCAACAAAAAAGGATTAATGCAAAACCCTAATAGCTGGATGTTTAAATAGCCAAACAATGCTACAGTGTACAAGAGAACCATTCGGAATACTACCAAGTGAAAACCTGGGTGATATCTTGCAAGAGGCTTAAAGCAGTAGACCCTGTAACACCAATATTCTTCCTCAAGCGATACAATTTCCATGAAGTAAAAACCTTCATTGTAGTTGATGTAACCTTATTTTTTCGGTTAAGGTGAACCACTCACCGTTGCTTTTCTTCTTGCATCATACATGCTCACACTCTCGTATACACATACACTCGCTAGGGCTACATCCCAAATGGTTTTACAGTCCAATCCAGTCGATTTTGAGCACTATCAAATCTCATTCTCATCTACTTCAATTTAAACCTTTAAAAAACATCATCTAATTGCAGATATTGCAAACGAGTGTAGATGTCATGAGGCTAAAAACATAAGGGCATGGATGTAAACCATTTTTAATCATAGCAAAAACCCAATTCAGAATCTTGATTCTATAGTATAGATAGGTGTAGAAATCTACATTTCGATTAATCACAAAGGAGTTGAAGCCACTCGGCCTATATGATCAAAAACCTATGTACAAAATACATTCTTCAGTCCATATAGCTCGCAGTATTTACATAGACAAACTCACTTCTAGTCTACACATTATATTACTTGCTGCAAAAAAAGAGCCTCAAAACTGGTAAGTTTCAGAGCAAGAAGGCCTCAATTTCATCCTCTTGGTTGGATAATTCAGTAGTTTTGGATCTCAAATTGGAGAGGTAGACCTAAACCCGAACTTATCAGATAGCTTTGTTCGCGCTAAAGGTGACAAAGCTCCATCTGATGAATGAATTGCACGTCGTGAACCAACGGGTTATCTGTTCTTCCTGGAGGAGATCCGGAGTAACACAATGGTGAGCACCCTGTGCATACAGATTCTCTTCCATCTAGAGTCTGCATTGTACAGTTGTATTGAATCAGTTAGGCTAAGTATCCAACAAGTTTTAAGAAAATGTTTAAACTGTTGTTCAGAAAAGGCATGAAATATCTCAACCTTCTCAGCAATCATGTTCAGAATTTCACTTCTTCCATCAGAATTTGGTTGGCTGGAGAACAATAAAATGTGAAATGAGATTAAAAAGGAACCAAGGGATAGTAAGAAGAACAGTAACAGTCCTGTTTGGTTTGTGTCTCAAAAATCAGTACTAGTAAACTATTTTTGGAAAGAGTTTTAGAAAAATGTGTTTTGGTATTTTTTGTATCGCAAAACTTGTTTGATTATATGATTCCAAAAACAGTTGTACAAATTTTAAAAAAATAAAACTTGATTGGACAGTAAATTAGAAAACAATGAAAATAGAAATGTGGTGGCATGGAAGTGTGGTGGTGGTAGAGGAAGTGTGGTGGTGGTGGTATTTTTTAAATTTTGGAAAGGGTGTTTCTAAAAACACAAAAAACTCAATTTTCAAAAAACAGCCGACCAGAAAGCCTTTCTCCCAAAAATTGTTTCCAAAAACCAAAAAATAATTTCAGAGATGCAAACCAAACAGTGCCTTTAAATTTTCATGCTTTTCTTCTCACGAAATCTTGATGATGTTCTCTATCCAATAAATGGAAAGTCTGTTTTCAGACCCCCTGCGCCCTGCATCCACCCTCTAGTATATGCTTTAGAACGTATCATAAAATGCTATAAAAAAATTTGAGAAGTGATGGCAACAATGTTGAAAAGAAGAACCTTTGTTTGCTGCATCTGGGAGGTTTGAGAAATTCAGGCATGGCTGATCCAAGTCGGCGAGGCTTAGGGCAAACAGGGAGATCATTACCTCCAAAACCAAGCTTGCTAGTCTCTGGACCTGTATCAAGAATATTGCTTTTTACTGCTAAATGATGCATTTCCCTCTGTACAAATGAACAAGTAAATTGAGTCACAAGTAAAAGAAAAAAAAAAAAAAACTTGCGACTGATATTTCAACTCTTTATTTATTTATACCTCATTATAAAGGTAACAGAGAGAGAGAGAGAGAGAGAGAGAGAGAGAGAGAGAATGACCGATTAGTGGAGCCACAGGGGATTGAAGATGGTGTGTGAGTAAAGGGCAGAGTTGCTTGGCCGAGAATGGTTATAGGGTTGGTCTTGACCAGTTGAGTTTAGTCTCCTTATTTTTCTCTTGATCTCATATTGCCTATGATTCATTTGGTCCAAGTAACTTTCTTCACTCCAAGACTGAATTCTTCTTTTAGACTTTTTATGATTTAAGTTTTAAATTGGATAATTGTCTTACATTTTCACTCTATATTCTAATCACGAGGCATTTGCCAAATGATTACACGTTGTTACGCTTAGGTTTTAGTTTCACAAATTTTACGTTGGGATCACTGAATTAAAATCTTGTTAAAATAAATCAACACTGAACCTTAGGACGATAATGAAATGAACCTTCTAATTAACTGAGTCAAAATAAATCAACATTGAACCTTAGAACGATAGTGAAAGGAACTTTCTAGTTAATCAGGTCAATTCAAACTTACTTTGTACTCCATGGAATTGAGAACCTAACTAAATTAGTTTTCTTCAACGACTCTTTTTCCTATATTTTTTCAAATGGCCCCTGCTATGCCTGTCCACTATAGAACATTTACGACATGATGATATCAAGTGATTTTTCAATGGGCGGTTAAACAAACTGAGCTTCTCGTGCTCAAATCTATTTTAGCACATACAAGTTCGTTCATATTTTCAAAATGAAATGAATATGTCCAAGTTTTGATACTCATTTGATTTTCAAGCCGAACCTGAACACTCCGCTGCTCAGCTTGATGAACTCAAGCTCGATAGTTTACAAGATAATATGAGTTTTTCATTGTGAAAAAAGATCAAAACAACTTCCTTAAGATACAGTCAGCTCAATTAACACTTTGTTTTGCACCTGGTTTTGTCTCAAATTTCACAACAATCAAAAGATACAGTTACTCATGCGCTTCATTATGTACCACAACTGCAGCCAAAGTGCTGATTTCCATCAGAGTACCATACAATTGTGCAAAAACAGGTTCAATAATGAAAACCCTGTATGAGTTTACGATTTTCAACTAATATTGCCCTCCTGTGTTTGGACAGTATATCCAAAGAATCTAGGTTTAAGATTGTATATGCACTTTAAGAATGTGCAAAATGCATAAAATACACACGTATACACAGGGAGATAGAGAGGGAGTTTATGTTCTTAACATCTTGCTGAAATGGCCTCTTATTTCAGCATGCAGATCATTCATGAGAAATGTTTGAGAGCACATCTGCCTCCAAAATAATTCCACAAAAGAATACAGGACATATCCCTATCTTATGACTTCAGGAAGTCTTCAAAGCTCAATTCACTAAAGAATAGTGGGTTGTACTCTAATCATGAAACAATTCAAACAAATATGAGGACTCAAACTATGCCCCTTACCCTGACAACAATAAGTCATAAAAGGGAAAGGATATAACATCCCTACATTTCCAAATATATAGCTATGCATTCCACATAACAATAGATTGTGTACCATCAGCACATTTTGTCGGCCATTCACACTTGCACACATACACACCTATACCATGGTATATGTTGTGTCATCAGTAAGAAGATTTTCAACAAGTTAGATTTAGATCAAGCACATATTTTCTGTAATCTGTTTACATTTGTCTGAAAACATACCTGAATTGAAGATCCTGGATTGATTGCATGTTATCTCATCCATAGGCGTGTAGAGCAAAAAAGATTAGTTTGAAGCTAAGAAGGATGTGCATTAAACAAACTGCACTCTAGAGAATGAATGCAACTAAAATCACTCATGGTCTAAAATTCAATCAGCATTAGACAATTATGATTTGAAGACACTGTACCCTTAGAAGAGAAGAGTACACCGTCACCATTAACCAATAATTTACAGGAACGAGGCCACAAGGGAAAATAATACATAATCATAATTGTTATGTATCCCATTCAAATGCGGGCTGTGAGAAAACCTCATAATCTATAGGTCCATCTATAAGATTGTCAACAGACTGTATGCCTTGCAATAGGGCTGGCTGGAAAGCATCATTATCAGAAGGAAGAAGTTTATACATCACTAACAACCCAAGAGTGAATATTGCTTGCAGCTTTGTGGAGTCTCCTTGGACTGAAAAGAACAAGAGCATTGAAAGGAGGAACAAATCAACGCAGAACCGCATAATACACAATACTGTGTCCATCAGCCTCCCATCATTTCCAGCAGGAAAACCTCTAACTCTGTATACAAATAGGAAGTTGTATTTATCAACGACGTACCTATACCCAAAATAAATTGCACCAACAGGGACAACAAGAGGAGCAAATGAAGAATATATCAAGGTCAAGGCGAATATTGTGAGATCGAATGCATAATATTGTGCAAAATCAAATGTCTGCTTAGGTACGGGTGAGGTTCGGCTGATTGGATAATCTGAAAGATCTTGTCCTGGTAAATCAATTGCATTGAGTAAGGAACCATGTGACGATCCATTTTCAGATGCTCCTTCAGGGATCAGAGGTCTCTGTAGGCCCTCCACATCCTGACTTTCTAATGCGTAGCCCTCGCTTTGCTCTGGTACCAGCTGAAGCATGTCATTCTTCCGAAACTTCTGAAGATTCTTTTTTATCCAAGGTATTGGAGCCAAAAGGTCAAAAGATATTCCCAAAAAAGTGCTTGTGATTAGAAATGCGAGAGACGAAAGACACGATTTTGACAGGAATGAAGCACTCATGTATTGCTGAATCCGTTTGCAATCTTCTCCATCCAAATAACATCGACCCATCTTTAGGATTGCACTCTCAAGTGATGATTCAACCAGAGCTCTCAAGAGAATGAGATTTACCAGAAAGAAACAGACCATCTTCAGCAGTGCAGCTCTTTGCTCCCCAGACACAGTAAGATGCCGTTCAAACTTGGAGAGATAAGAAAGAGCTGATGGAACCACTATGTACATGCTCACAAAAATAAGAACATTAGGCAGGAACTGAAAAATTATGGTTGCAAGCCAGCTAGAGCTTTGCACCCAAGCCAACCACACCTGAGCACTATCCATTGCTTCTGCATTGATGATCCGTGCTGCACTCTGTATGGCACTGATCACGGCGAGAGGAGAACTGCAGAACAAAAGCATCACTAGCAAGCAGGAGTTTACAAACACTCTCCGCAGTCTTAGAGAAAACTTTGTTGATCCCAAATGATTCCAATATATGTCACTTGCCAATGGAGCTCTCTCAACTTTCCATTGGTTCCTCTGTAGCTGCAACTCCATAATAGAAAAGAACTTCCCTATGCGCCTCTTCTTCTCATTCCGGAAATCCTGAACTGCCTTATTGGCTGTGTACACATCCTTAAACACCACAAAGGCAACTCCAGCACCCTTTGCTCGCCCTTCTTTGTAATCTGCCATTTCCATCTCTAAATCAGCTCTCCGCTCTTGCAATTTTCTTAATCTTTCTTCATCCGAAATGCCCAACTCATCAACAACCTGATTCCACAAATCCTTCACTCTACTCCACAAGCAATGCACCCTGTCCCACAACCCCCCCTCTTCTCTTCTGTCCTCATGATCCTCACCTTCCATCCCAACCCGCGCCTCAATTATCGCCACCAACTTAGAAATATCCTCCCTAATCTTCACCAACTCTGTAACCAAATCATCCAAAGCACACAAATCCATTGGCACAACCACCCGAAAAACTTTCCCTGGATACTTATGTTGAAAATACTCCACCAAAGGGCCTTTATCAAACCCTATATTTTTCGGTATCCCCTGCACCATTATAGTAAAAATTGCTGTAGAATTCCCACTAGGGTCACTAGGGTTTCCATACCCATCCCTAAACCTAGTAATTCTCAACCTTTGTTCAATGGCATTCATACCAAAATGCACCAAAACAACAACTACAACAGCAAACAAGAAATGAATCCAAAGCAAAGCCGAACCTTTTACGATGTGATTTATCGTTGTTTTCGAGAACTGATCGGCAATCGAAGCGGTCCCGGCGTAAATATTGAGAGGAAGAATGAGAAAAATGGCAGGGATGGCAATGGAGATGAGGACGGCGGAGCTGCCACCCTCAATTAGGAGGAACTGGGCGGCGTCGGCACCACAGTGGCGGGCGATCTCACGGCCGGTGGCGTGCCAGGCGGCCAGAAGCTTGGCAACTATGGCTGTGGGCCCCGGCATACGGCGGTGGTCGCTTCGGACCTTGACAAAGATGAATATGAAGAGGCAGGTTAGGGCCCCGATGGCGGAGATGTTAATAAGGTACTGGATGTTTCCGTACCATGAGGTGTCGAAATCGCTGGAGTCCGACGGCGATGGCGATTGAGAGAGAGTGGAATTCATGTCAATTACCGGCGATGACTGAGGTGGATACATGGGGATTAGCAATCTAGGGCTTATATACATCAAACTAAGAATTTCGAAGTGGTGAATTGAGTTAATTGCAATCGGTGAGATTGAGATTTGTGTTCATCTATGCTTATGGTTAGGGTATTAAAGGGGGGAAGAAGAAGAAGAAGACGACGAATTGGAGGAGAAAGACTCTGAATCAAAGTCATTGAGTCTTTGTCGATATTCGCAATATTTTTTCCAATTAGTCTTTAGATTTTAGTTTCTATTTTAAAATTTTTTTTAAATTTTATACTTGTTATCTTTAAAAAAAATGGAAAGGTGCAACCAATAAGAAGCATTGACATGAGTTGCGTGGCCGTGAAAGTTCTAAAATATGAAATGTTCGATTTGAATCATAATTATTATTTTAAAAGAATAATTTGTCATCATAATATTACTAAAATCAAGCAATAAATTACATTATATATTGAACCCTATTTATTAATTATACGAGAGTTATGGACGATATTAAACGAGTATGATTTACACTTCAACTATCAACTTGTTTCAATAAAGTTATTTCTTCTATTTTACAATCAGAACAACTAGGGCAAATTCATGTATTTGTCTTGTGGTCGTTCTCGTTATGCGTTTTTTTATTTGTTCAAATGAGTGTAATAAACATACGAATTTTATTGATACAAAATTAATAATTTAAAAGAGAAGACTTTAAGAACCAACTCCTCAAAAAGAGTGTAATTTGCAAGGAACCCAACTACCCAACCAAACACTTTTTTTTAACTTTACCATTCTAAGAACATCTCCGAGAGATGCTGTAAAGCACAAAAATAATTAAAAATTTAGCTAATCAAAATAAAAAATTATACTCCAAGAAAATATGTTTAGATACACTAAAATAGATTTAAAGTATCACTGTAACAATATATAAAATTTGTTTATAATATTTTTCCTCTTTTCCTTTCTTTTTTTCTATTCTCTCTCTTTCTCCCTTTCATTATTCTCAAAAAAAATAATACAAAAGTAATGAGAAATAATATTTAAAAAGAGTAGTTAAAAATATAAAAAATCTATTAGAATGTACATTAAAAAGGTGAGTAGTTAAAATAAAAAATGTTACTTTTTGAGTAAATAAAATAGATTTTGTTGTTGAAGATGCTCTAAGCATAGTTTGGTTTGAGTTAACGATTCTTTAAGAGTATTTTTAACTTATTTAAATTTAAATTTAAATCAAAATGATCTAAATTTTTTTTTTAACCTTAAACCCAAACTTCTACCAAATCAGAAAAAATTTATTTTAGATCCAAATTGAGAAAAACTCAAAACTTATATCAAATTTTCAAAAAGAACTTTTTATCTTATCTGAATTCAAAAAACTCATTCAACAGAACATGTCTCTCTTGCTTTTTAACTGCAAAGCCATTGTCATTGTCGCCGACCATAGTGTCTATTCCTATCTTTATTTTTTGACAATAACTTTTTACTTTTTCTCTCTCTATCTCTTTTTACCATTTTTCTCTCTCATAAACTCTCATTCTAAAAAATTATCTCTGGTCTCTCATACTTAGTACAAAGCTTACGAATCCACCGATCAAAGAGGTTGATATTCTTGCCTTTTCTTTTGGTTAATGTTAGTAGAGTTTGTAAAAAATAAGTTTTAATATTAGATAAAATATTTTGTTGAAAAAAATTAACAAAATTAGTTTTGGGACAGTAAGAGAATTTTTTAAAATATTTGAATTTACTAATTAGAATATTTTATATCAAATCATAGTTTGAGATGCTCTAACATAAACTTAAATTTAATATTACTTGTTATCGTCAACAAGTGAATCATATTAGTATAAAATATGAATAATTTGAAATTGACACAATTAATATGTTTTAGTTGTATTCTAAAAATAAAATACTAATTTTTTTTATTATTTTTATCAAGTATTGACATGAATTCTTATTGTATAAAATAATTTTTTTACTTATTTTTACTATTATAAGTATTTAGTGAATTTTCAGTTTATGAAAAACCTATGAGAATTGGTTTGGTCGAAAATAATGGAATCAAATTTTTGAATATTTTATTCGCGAGTCATATGTATCAACCTAATGCCACACGATAATAAATTGATCGAGATAATATCATAGCGTTTTGATATAATTAATTAAATAGGTTTGATTAAGGGTGCAGTTCAAAAAAAAAAAAAATTAAGGGTGACTAATGTCCGATACAAAGCCAAACACGACACAACATATTGGTTTAACTTCGGCATTGCAAAAGTATTTTTCAATTTTTTTTCGTTTGTTCAAAGAATGCATGACATGTATAAGAATTTTTATTTTATATTCCCACTTTGATATGTTATTTCCATAATTAATGGACAAATATAAATCAAACCAAAAATTGCGATTAAAAAATAAGGTATCGAAAAACTATGTCTAATCTTATCTGTCAATTTATTAGGTGAAAATTGGAATCAAGTATAATATAGGGATCCAAATGCAATCTTTTTGAGTTATTAAGAATAGATATTATATATTTTTTTTGTAAGTAAGTCAAATAGTCTATTTTATTTTTTTAGTTTTTATTTCCTATTATGCTTTTTGGTGTATCATCCTAGTAGCTTCTTTGAGCAATATTTATTACAACGGTGATATTATGTGGTAATGCTGATGATATTACCAACCAATAATAAAATATCTAGTGGCTAAGATAAACCCCACTCGAGTAGTTATTTGTTACAAGGGCTCCAATAAAATATCTGATAGGTAAGGTAAACTTCACTTGAGTAGTTATTTGCTTATAAGGGCGGAGCTAGGAATATATCTAAAAATAATTCACTAGTTGACATCCAAAAAAATTGAGTGTAAGAATGATAAAATAGACTAAGATTCGATACATTAACACAATCAAGTGTCATAGTAAAATACAATATTCTTTAAAATCTCTAAAAAATTTTATAATTGATTAATTGTAAGTTAGATTTCACACCAATTTTCTATTAATGTGTACAATCACAAAGTCAGTAGTATATTCTTTATATAGTATAGTTGAAATCATCTCAATCTTATTGAGAAATTACATATTTGACATAGCATAAAATGCTTTTGGGTTATAACATATAGCATTTGCATCCAATCATGTTTTATTAGGTATAGACTACAAAAAAATTGAAAAATAATAAATGATAGCTACACAATTATTTTTAAAAAGATAGGAAGCATTGTATTAAATAGAATAAAAAAATTATATTTTTTCAATATATATAAATAGATCACGACGTTTACATCTAATTTACTCAATCTAAAAGTAAAACATTTATTTTAGAGGGCTAATGAACCACTAATTTACTGGAAAAAAAGGGAGAGACTAGTACTGTAATGTAAATTTTTAAAATTTAGGGGGAACAAATGTAGTGCATTCAAAAATACTATGGGGTTCTCATCAAAAGTGTAATACCCCAAATTTTTGAAATATATATATATATATAACTTAGTTAGGTCAATTTGTGATATTATTTTTGAAAAGGGATGTTAGTGTAATTAATGAATGAGAAATTGTTGGGTTATCGTACGGTTTCTTTGATTTTGTATTTACATAGATGTAACCCGTCAAAATAGGGTAAAATAAAAAAAAAGGATAAAAGTGTAATTAAAATAAGTTCTCTTGTTGCCCTAAAAGTCTAATGACACACACACACACACACACACACACACACACATATATATATAAGAGGATAGAGTTTTGAGTAAAGAAAAAAGAAGAAAAAGAAAGAAGGGGATTTAGAGAAGAAAAAAGAAAATTAGAAGATTTGATCATCAAGGTTAGTCTTCAAATTAAAATTTAATTTTGAATTTAATCATTATATGTATGTATGTATGTGTATATATATATATATTCATGGTAAAGAATAGTGATGAATGTATAAATGAGTTTTGTTGAAAATTGTTAATTTAAGTGTTTTGAGATCTAATATTAGATTTACTAGTCATAACCCGTGCCTGAAGGTACGATAAAATATAAAATTCAAGCGTCCAAAAAATTGATTCCATTATATTAATTTTTTTTAAAATATATTAATTACAAATTAATCAAATATTAAATGATTAAATATATGATAGAAATGAGTGATGTGATATTTTTATAGAAGAAATATATAAATGATTAAATATGTGATAGAAATGAGTAATGTGATTTAACGTTTGAGTCTGACAAAAGGATGATGGGTGAAATAAATGATTGGTGATGATTTTGAGGGAGAAAATATGACTGAAATAAAATTCAAACACACTCCTGTTTTATTATATAGATTATTTATGAGACTTTAAAGAATTGATTTAATGTCTAACAAAGCAAAAGAAAACAAAGAAGGAAGAAACCAGAACGTTACAGACGGCTGGAACAAGGTTGAAGAAGATAAAGTTTTGGAAATTATGGAAACTCCCTCCTTAGTTTTAAGTAGTTTTATTTTGATCCCTATACTTTGATAAACTCAAATTTTGACTACTATGGAACTTGATAATTTATAAAACTGGCCCAGTATGTTTGAAACAAATATGGTTATGTCAAAACAGCCCCCGAGTCTTGAAATTTTTTTAAAATTTTGAAACGACCCCTAAAAGTTTTGATTAAGTATTTAAATATTAATAGTTACTCTAATAAATCAAATTGAGGTGATATTATTGGAAAACAGGTCTCTAGAACCTTAAATACTATTCTGAAAAATGTATGGCAGGCCCGAAAACAGAAAATTCGTTTTTAAAGAAATTACACTTTGACTCCAAAAATTTTAAAAATTATAATTTGACCCCAAAACTTTAGAAACTTTTTTCCAACAGTCCAGAATACTTCATAAATTGTTACCTCATATTATAAATGATATTTGTATGTAGAATATATATTAAATATATATTAATGAGTAGAAAATATAAAATTAAATATAGAATCGCGAAACGTCGAAATTAGAAAAAAATGATTGATTGTTATATGTTATTTTGGATTAGGTGGTGATTGCATTGAGGTTGGGAAAGAGTGCTTTGAATTAGATTTTGGAAATCAAAGT